GCCTACAGGCTCGAGCTGGGTCGGGTTGGATAATTTAGATATGACCTAAACTCTAGCAGAGAGCTGTTTAAATTGACAAAAACATGTTTCTGTTGCCGGCTTCATCTTCTATACATTAAAAGTAACAAATTATTCTGGGAGGCCTTTGCCAAGAGGAGCAACAAAGGCTTCACCAACCTGAAAGGCTTTGTGGTTGATGCCATACACCAGTGGGTTGGCCCTCATCCGGACATATAGATATGTGTAACTGAGCCACTTCACAGCCTCCTCCACATTGGTCACAGTTCCCAGAGCGATCTGCAGGACAGGAGCAAAAAGGAAAATCACAGCTTCACATCTCCTCAGTGTCATTTTCAGTGGTCTCTGTCGCCATCCTCTGGATGGTTAATGAAAACACAGTCACAAACATTCAATTCCTTCTATTGTTATTCTATGTAAACTAAATAGAACCTTTGAAGTTCAACCATAGAAGTAGCAAACATATGAGGTTACAGTGTTAGTTTCAACAGACAATGCAACAGTTGCACTATGTGTGAGCAACACATTTCACAACAAAATGGGGGAACAAGTATTTGATACACTGCCAATTTTGCAGGGTTTTCCACTTGCAAAGTATTTAGAAGTTTATAATAATTATTCTGGGTAATCTTGATGGAGTACCTTAGTAATTAATTTGCATTTTATTGCATAAGTATTTGATATGCTATCAACCAGTAAGAATCCCAGCTCTTACAGCCCTACTAGTTTTTTTTTTATGAATCAATCAATAAATTAATCAATCAAGTTTATTTGTGTAGCACATTTCAACAACAAGGCAGTTCAAAGTGTTTTACATCATAAAAAACACACGCAAAAATACAAAGTTGTAGAACACACAGTCAACAATTGTCAGGGCCGTCGTTACACATCAAAATGTTGGTTTATGTTTCATTCATCAACGATGTCGCAATGGAACAGGTCAGAAACATTAAATTCCTGGGGATACAGATCACTGATACTTTGACCTGGTCCCACCAAACCTCTGGCCTAGTGAAGAAAGCTCAGCAACATTTGCATTTTTTACGTCGGCTGAGAAGAGCACACCTCCCCCCTCCCATGCTCACCACTTTCTACAGAGGGACAGGAGAGAATATACTGACCAGCAGTATCTCTGTCTGGTTTGGAGCATCTAATACCTCAGACTGGCAACGTGTGGAGAGAGTGGTGAGGACAGCTGAGAAAATCATCGGGACTGAGCTTCCTTCCATCCTTGACTCCGCTCATAGTCGCTGCCTGTCCAGGGCTCGGGCGATTATAAAAGATCCCTTCCAACCTCAGCATGGTTTGTTCTCCCTGCTGTCCTCTGTGAAAAGGTTCAGCAGCTTCAAAAGCAGAACAGCCAGATTCCATAACAGCTTCATCCCTCATGCCATAAGACTACTAAACTGCCATCAGGGGCGCCACCAGGAATCTTGGGCCCCATGACAGAAAATTAAATTGGGCCTCCTCCTGTGCACTTGCTGTTATAATTTCTTGAGTCTTTTTACATGCAACAGTCCGCAAGCCGTATGCAAGTAGGTTGCTTACCTTTTCGGTAACACTTTATTTGAAGGGGGGTGAATAAGACTGACATGACACTGTCAAACGTGACATAACACATGTCATGAACATGAATAAGCCTTCATGAATATTTATGACTGCTGTCATAAAGCGTCATTTGGTAAATTATGACACTTTTAATACAAAGTTGACATTATTCAAAATGTCTTTGTTATGACAACTTGACATTAACTAATAAATCATTACTGTTTAAACTTTACCTTTAATAGCATAAAGTTACCTGATTTTTAAAGGGCAATCAGTAATACTTTTATAACAAATTTATATCAGTAATGATTTCTTGGTTAATGTCAAGTTGTCATAACAGACATTTTGAATAATGTCAACTTTGTATTAAAAGTGTCATAATTTACCGAATGACGCTTTATGACAATAGTCATAAATATTCATGAAGGCTTATTCATGTTCATGACGTGTTTGTGACAGTGTCATGTCAGTCTTATTCAACCCCCTTCAAATAAAGTGTTACCAAATTTTTTTCTATTAGTTTTAGCTTACTGAAATGTCTCTCCCCACGAGCAACAGTTGTGCAAAATATACATGAAGCTATCCAGACTTCTCAAAAAATGCTATATAGTTGCATTTTATTCAAGCTGCAGTACATAACTTTAATAACAAATATATTTTCTCCATATTTGTTAAAGCTGTCACCATGTCGTGACAGTTTGCTATGAGACAGATAATCTGTGAAAACAATCAATCTCCTCCACCTCCTCCCTGAGTTGCTACTGATGTCTAACGAAATGTGCCGCTTTGACCAAAAACAACCAATCACAACCAGGAGAGCTGCCTTAGTGCTGTCAATCAACCTCATTCACTTACTGCAGTGGACCCCCAAACTTTTTCCTGTGAGGGCCACATAACTTTTTCCTTCTCTGGTTGGGGGCCGGAGATTGTTGACCAGGGGTGGGGGCGCGTTTCTCGATTGATTTTTACCCAGAAAGCACATGGGCAAAACCCATGAGTGAAACGGTCACTGGGACTGACTAGTACAGGGGTGCCCAAACTTTTTGAGAGCAAGATCTATTTGTTCTCTCACCAGCCACCTGGGATCTACCTCATGACACAAAGACATAAAAATTGCAAATTAAACTCTATTGACTTATTTTATATGTGAATATGCATCAGTTATAGCAGAAATAATAAAGTGACAGAAAACCTGATGCAGTTTCTTCCTCAGTGAAATATATTTGTCCTATTTGATGTTTATTGTGACGTATACTCACAAACAAACGAGGTCCAAGTTTGTCGATTATTGAATGTTTAGAAACTACAGCGGACAGGAGCCACAGCAAAGATAAACAAAGGTAAAACAACCCGAACAGGTGATCAACTCAAAACCACTCCACCTTTTTACTTTCTGTCTCTTTGTCGTTTAAGCCACCCGTTGCCGTGGCAACCGCCTGCGCCCCGCAAGCCGAGCAGAGATTACATTAAAAACACAACATTCAGTCGTTACAATATCAGGTTTCCAGGCTTGATATTTATTCCTCGATTATTAATAAGCCTCTCATGAACACAGCGGTGGTTGAGCAGCTCATTTAAACTCCTGCTCTGCTCTCAGTCGGTCTTTGAGTTGCCTTTTTTTTTTCTTTTTCTTTTTTTGTTAATGGGACCGAAACGCACTGAATTGCGCAACACCTTGTTCAAACAATAATTACTGAGATTATTAATTTTAACACATCTAGTTGATTTTTTAAAAATAATTATTCTTTTTTAATGAAGCTACAAACGTTTAGGATCTTAGTGAATATTTTTGATAAGCCCGTCAGAAGAGGAAGTGCTGGTCTAAGCGTCCTGGTGGCGTTCAGATTGTCATCTGCCGAGATCGACTCTAAACCTTCCGCGATCGACGGGCACCCCTGGACTAGTATATATTCCATTGAGAAAATGTAACTTTAACATATTAATTTCTCATATGTTAACA